CTGCATTCACAGAGCTTTGTGAATTCTAACTGGCAACTCTTCCAAGACAGAATCTCATCTTTGAATGCTAGGGTAACATTTAGAGTTTTAGTTCTGTGGAAAATTAGCAGGCAGCTCTGTAAGTTGATGTAGGAGAGGGCCTGGGAAATTTGGTGCTGTTAGTTTCCCTACAAAATCAGCCCTAGATATCCCTTCCCCATTGTATTTTTCTACAAATGGCAGGAGCTCCAAAAATTAGACTCAGCTATTTTCTGCCTCTGGGAAGACCTTCTTTTGTGTACAGGCATCCAGGGCCCCAAAGGCTCTGCTTGCCAGCCTGGGAGAAGAAAGGCTATCAGGATGGCATTTAGATAATCAGCCTCAGTGGTCCAGGAAGTGGGTCACAACTTCTCCATATTTCATTTCCTGTTTTTCTCTTTGGAATCTGAGGGAGTCCTCTCCAATCCTCACATCTCAGGGAACCTCCCCCAAGTCACCAGAGGGACCTGATTGTTCCGGCACCTTCTTAGACCGATTCCCATCAACTTGAAAGTTACGCTTCAGAATGAATAGGTTGGACAGGATATGGTCTCCAAATGTCTGTTATGGAAGGGGCTGGTGAAATGGTTGAATTAAGGCCCTCTGAAAATGTTCTCATCCATAAAAGTGATAAGAAAACTGGCAAAATTACTGGAATAAACTTTTTCAGAACTCTAGAAATTAAAGTCTTGCAGTAACCCGGGGAGCATCTATTCAAGAAACGGGACTGATTCTCAGAGCAGGAAGGTTTGTGGCATTTTAACTTGTTCTTATTCCCATCCCTCCCTCTCCAGTTCCACAGTAGCCTTGAAAACCAGTCGCTGCAATCACAGTGAAAACCAGCAGCCTGGCAGCCTCTGGCAGGGGCAGGATGGAGTTGGAGTATCTTCAAAGCACCTCTCCCTCCTCCTCTTCTTCCTTCTCCTCTCCTGCCTCTCCCTCCTCTGAGATTTGAGAACTACTGGTGGAGAGGAGGGCCCAGGGGAGTACATTGCTGCTGAAACTGATGTCAAATTTTGGTTTAGGGAACATGCACCATTAGCTGTTGACAGAGTCTGGGATCATGCAAGATGTATTACATAGGACAGGACTAAATAAAGCTCATGTGCCCCAATTATCCATGGGAGTCCATGGAGAAACTGATGCTGCCTCTCACTGGAGCTTTTGAAGAGTACACAGTGAATTGGAGGGACACTATCCAATTTGGCTCTGCTCAAATTATGTGAAGTTTCATAATAGCTTCAGGAAGAAAATATTATAGTAACCGGTTTCACTTTATGTACTTCTGTGACAGAACACATGCCAAGGGTGTTAGTTTACCACGGAGGTACTTATGCCTCCTACTGAGTCACTGGCTTAATCCCTGCAAAGCTCAGGCCTTTGTAGAAAGTTTATTCAAATAGGTAAACTAGGGTGATCAGTGTTTGGAAAACGAAGAAAGTTTAGCCTAGAGGGCTGTGGCAAAGAACCGGATGCAGGCTGCCTTATCCTCTCTTTCAAAGATAGTATATTGAATTGATTTATTTGTGTTAAGATGATTACGCAACAGCATCATGTACATACATTATTATATAGTTATAACTAGTTTCATTTTGAGCAGTTTGAATGTTAATTGGTAACGGAATACTTCTGTGATTTTTTTTTTAACCTTACTTAAGTGAATCAGTGTGACTCATATATTTGTAGAGTTTTGGGGCACTAATCAGTTAGCCTCATCTTTTTTCCTGTGGAAACTGTTCATCACTGAATTCAGCCTTATTGACATCTAGGTAGACATTTGCAATACCAGATAGTAAGATTTTCAAAACTGAGTTTTTCTAATGATATTTAGTTCTGCAGTCCTGTGTATTGTGGGAGGGATTTGGCTTTATCACAGAAATCTGCAAATTTGCTTTATCGGGTAGATCAGGACCAGCTCTCCATCTAAAAAGGCCTTCTAGGAGACATCCTACAGGGTGATTGAGGAAGAACGTGATGATCCCCTTATCTAGTTAGCCCTCTCTCTTAAGGCAGACCTAAACCTAGACCATCTCAGTAATGTTTAGCATAAACAATAGGTACTTACTAAAGACAACTTTGGGGCTTAAAAGAGAGATTTGGTTTGATTTCCTGTGGCTGGTGGCGAGAACCAGAGGCCATTTCCTCTAGATTGCTTACCTTGTCTAGGTGTTCTTGTTGTGGTAAAGTGGCCAATAACTTGTAAGTCCTAATTCCGTTGCTGTTTTAGGGTCAGTAAAGCCATCTCAGGGAAGTGGTTATTAGATAGTGTGAGCTTCTGCCGGACGCAGTGGCTCATGCTTGTAATCTCAGCACTTTGGGAAGCCAGGAATTCGATACCCACCTGGGCAACAGAGCAAGACCCTGTCTCTTAAAAAAAAAAAAAATTTTTTTTTTTTTTACATTAGCTGAGCGTTGTCTCTTGAGCCCAGGAATTTGAGGCTGCAGGGAGCTGTGATCATGCTACTGCACTTCAGTCTGAGTGACAGAGTGAGACCCTTGTCTCCAAAAAATACATGGTATCAACATCATGCATTGGAGCTGAATTCAAAACCTGTTTTTTATTTTTGTGTTTTTTGTTTTGTTTTGTTTTTTTTAAAATAGTCATTTGCTCACATGGTAATTAAAGCAAAGAAACCAAATATCCAGTTACAAAAATCGTCAGATTCCATAAAATGTGTGTGATGAAGAATTGATTAATGTACATGCTAACCCATGGCATAGTCCCTAAAATCTAGTCTTGTATGTTTAAGATCATCCTAAGTTGAGTCCTTTGAAAGAATATTTTCAGAGGAAAAGAATTATGACATTTCTCAGGGTGCGTTTATTTAATGAGAGGAAGTCCTTTTTAAAATGTTTCGAAAATATAGAGCAAAATTTCCTATTAAGTCAAAAAACATCCTCACTTTCCTAATAAGTGTGATATATAGAATAAAGATTTAAAAAGAGAAACTTGCTTACCAAAGTATTGGCCACCGTATTCTATAAGAGATGCCTATATGCTGCTGTTTTTGACAAACTAAGACTTAATTCTCCGTGGTGAAATAGTTATTCGGGGTGAGAAATGACACCTGTCTAGGACTGAAGCAGGAAACACTGCCAGGATGACAGGATGTGAACATTTGATCAGGAACTAGCCAGCACAGACAGCTGTAGGCGGTAGCTTTTCGCATGGTCACCCAGCAGATTGTTGATGAGTCAGGTTGATGATGAGCAACTGGTAGAAAGTGACTGTCCTAAATCGCAGTGAGGAGACTTGTGGTTTTGCCTGGTCTCATCTCATCTCTTATTTGCCATGTAGATGTAATGTCTCTGGGCTTCCGTTTTCTTAACTGTATCAAAAAAGCATTGGAGTAAATGATACCATAGCTCTTCAGCTGTCAGTGCTATGATTTTGTTGTTGCTGTTGTTGGCCATGATGGTGGTTTTTAAATTTATAATGTTATTATTTTAGACATACAAGTTCAGATACTACCTTTTATTACTACTCTGTTTTTATATAAACAAACAATTGGAGAAAATAATTTTTAAACCAAATACCATACATTTTAGAAAAAAGTTTAGCTCTATTGTTTTTGAGCATAGAATATAACTAATAAACAAGTTTCTCATTGTTTTTATTGACATTTATATATTGTGTATTTTCTGAAGTCCTTAAATGTTAATAAGTATGTATGTGATACGTCATATTAAATATATTTTAAATGTTGATCCAGAAAAATATATTTGAGATTAGCTATCTACTGCAACAAATAGAAGCGCTTTGTGTTAATGTTCAGGAAGTAGAATATTATTCTAATTAATTTTGTTGCTTTCTACACTCCAGAAAATAATGACAGGGACATTTTGGCTTCTTAGAAAGAGACTGTTGCAATATAGATCAAGAACTGGATCAATAAATAAAAAGAAAGAATGTGCTACATTACACCTCTTAAGAAACACAAATAAGGCTGGGCGCGGTGGCTCACACCTGTAACCCCAGCACTTAGGGAGGCCAAGGTGGGTGGATCACGAGATCAAGAGATCGAGAGCATCCTGGCCAACATGGTGAAACCCCATCTCTACTAAAAATACAAAAATTAGCGGGGCATGGTGGCACGCATCTGTAGTCCCAGCTACAGGGACTACAGAGGCTGAGGCAGGAGAATCGCTTGAACCCAGGAGGTGGAGGTTGCAGTGAGCTGAGATCGTGCCACTGCACGCCAGCCTGGTGACAGAGCGAGACTCTGTCTCCAAAAAAAAAAAAAAAAGGAACAAATAAATGCGTAAGGTTGGTCTACTTGCTGGAATAATGAAAATGTATTAATATTTCGAAGCGATGCAGAAATATGGCACGGTAGAGAATAACCTCTCCCATTTTCTGTAGAGACTGGTTTTCGTTAGTCAGTGTATCTTCTCGATCATTGCTGCATATGAATATTAAATTACATTGTTTGTTTGTAACCATTTAAATTATATTAATTGTTAAGTTACAAAAGGCAGTTGATTCCATTGAAATTACTCTTTCTTTTTAAAACTTAATCTTAGATTACTTTGTTTTACACTGGAAGCTATTGCTATCAACTAAAAATGAAAACTCTTTCTAATAATCAGTCATGTACTTAACAAGTGATTCCATTAAAGAAATATAAGACTGAGGTTAAAATAAAAACGATAGAGGAAGGGGAAGAACTTCAGATGTAGATTAAGAAGATGATAAATGTTTGGGTCACAGTGGCTGTGTGGTTATTTTTTAAAGTTGTGCTAGTCTCTGAGACCTCCAAAAAGTGTGTTAACAAGCATACCAAAGATGGGCTTATGGCAAAGTGACACATTATAAAGCTGTATTTTAGAGGTTGAAATCAATCTTACCATTGTCATTTGGTGGTAGTTCTAACTTACAATCCTTGTTTTGGTACTGGTAAAGAGTAGTGTCTGTTAAGTGCATGTGCCTATGCTAAGAAAGTAACCTATTGTTTTATAGAAGTTTCTCTTTTTGTTTGTAGATATAATACCTTGCCAAGCAGAAGAACTCTGAAAAATTCAAGATTAGTGAGTAAGAAAGATGATGTACATGTCTGTATCATGTGTTTACGTGCCATCATGAATTATCAGGTATGTTGGAGCTTCTGGTTCTTTTAAAAAAATAAAACCTGAATTAATCAGACTCAGAAATCACTGCTGGGTGCAATGTACACTACTTGGGTGATGGGTAAAATAAAAGGCCAGACTTCATCATTATGCAGTTTATCTCTGTTACCAGAAGCTACTTGTACCCCTAAAGCTGTTGAAATTTTTTTAAAAAAGAAGAAAAACCAAACAACAAAAACAGACTCAGATTTTGTTCTTGTTGGTTTCTTTGTATTATTTCTATTTGAAGTAAATGCCAGGATTTAATGAGATTCTATTAAAAAAGAAAGGCCTGGTTCATCCTAATGCTCAAGATTTAATTTATTGCCCTCATATTTTAATAAATATATATAATTTGCAATGTATTTAAAGGAAAGGTGTTTTCCTCCTGTAGTGATAAACTTACTAGATTGCTTGGTGAATGTTTGTGACCATTAAAGATTGAATAAGCTGCTGTTGCGGGTAATAATGAAACAACTCTAGAACACCAGGAGTGGATAGACACAGTGGTTCTCAAAGGTTTATGTGGCGAACAGGTGAGAAGTTACAATTATTGGCAGTTGGACTCAGTGGTTCCTAATCTTTATAAGAAGCACCTGGAAGATTGTTGCAACTACAGATTCTTCCTTTGGGTAATTGTGATGCAGGTTGACCCCACTAAGGTGCTGCGTTGAATTTAATAAGGGAAACATGCATTTATTCTTTCAGTACTTTTATGAGCTTTGCCAGACAGCCCCTGTTCCACATAGGCACTGAGAATATAGAACTGAATAAATTTGTAGCCCAGGGAACTTACTTTCCAGGGAGGGGAGACAGATGACCAACAAATAAATTGGTAAAATGTGTATGTTCCAGATAATAATGATGAAATGAAAGCTAATGCTTACATGGTACACTTTTCAGGTCTAGTGCTTTTAAACCTCTTAAGTCATGTAAATAGCCCTGTGAGATCAATAATATTTTTCTCCACATTTTACTGATGAAGCTGCGACACAGAGAAGTTTAGTAATTTGTCTAAAGTCACATAGATAGTAAGTAGTGGGGTCAGGATTTGGACCCAGGAAGGCTTTGAACCCAGAGAACCATTACTAAGTACTGTAGAAAAAATAGGAAATAGGAACTGTTGAAAATGTATGTGAGTTTTAAATAGGCCAGCCAGGGAAGGGTCACTGAGAGGGTAACATCTAGTAAAACTTGAATGAGGGAGCAAAGGGAGGGATATTAGGGAAAGAAGATTCTAGGCAGAGAGAAGGGCAAGTGCAGAGACACAGAGGCAGGAATGTCTGATTTGCCCAAGTCACAGAAAGGAGGCTTGGCAGGATCAGAATGAGTAAGAGGGAGAACAATACAAGATGTAGTCAGGTGTCATCTGTTTGATTATGTAGAACTTTAGAGGCCGCTGAGAGGACATTGACTTCACTATGAGAGGAAAGCTGTTGAATGGTTATAAGGGCATAATCTGACACTTGCATTTAACATGAGACCACTCTGGCTTCTGTGTTTAGATTTGACTCTGGCCAGGCAAAGGCAAGAGGGAGTAGACCATTTAGGAGGCCCTTAGCAGTCATTTAGGTGAGCTTTGATGGTCATATGGACTAGGATCATAGGAGTGGAGATGATGAGAGGTGATCTGATTCTGGTTTTATTTCGATGCTAAAGGCAATAGCATTAGGTATGAGGGAGAAAGCGAGTAGAGGCTGGTACCAGGGCTTTTGTCTTGGGCACCTGTGAGATAGAGTTGCCATCTAAAAGATGGGAAGACTGCAGGATAGACGGATTTGAGGGAGATCATTAGGAATTCTGTTTCGGGGATTTTAACTTTGAGATGCCCGTTAGACATTCAAATAGTGATCTTAGGTGGGTGGTTGGATATGCCAGTCTGGATTTCAAGGCAGTGGTCTGGGCTGGAGATAGTAATTAGCATATAAATGGCATAGGAAGCCAGGAGGGTGAATGAGATCAGTAGGGGTAGACTGAGAAGTAAAGAAGTCCAAAATATGAACTCTAGGACTCTGTTTGAATGTCAGAGAGATGAAGAAAAGCTGGCTAGAGAGCCTGAAAAATAGCCAAGGAGTTAGGAGCCAAGTGAAGGATGTGTTTCAAGGAGAAGGGAGTGGAGTATTCAACTCTGTTAGATGCTGCTAAGTCTGGTAAAATGGGGAGTGAGGATTGGCCATTGGCTTCAGCAAAGTGCAGGTCTTTGGTGATCTTGGCAGACAGTTCATTGGGATGGTGGGGGTGAAATGCTTGATTGGAGTGGTTTCAAGAATGAGCAGGAAGTGAGGATTTATACCGAGTGTCTGGAGGAGTTTTGCTGTAAAGGATAGCAGAGAAATGAGAGGCAGTGGCTGAACACAGGTTGTGGTATCAAGAGAGGTTTTTATTGTTGCTTAAGAGAATTTGCATCATGTTTTTATGCTAATGGCAATGAGTCCATCAAGAGGGAAAACTAAGGGGGAATGGAGGAATTTCTGGAACATACCATGTTCATGAGCAGATGAGAGGGAATGGGATGGAGGAAGGACTCATGGGAAGGGTTGGCCTTAGTTTGGAGCACAGAAGAGTTCCTGTTTAATAGGAGGTGAGGAGGTAAGCCACAGATCTGTGTGGGTAGATTGATGTGGTATAGGAGCTTCTAGATGTTTTTTCTGATTGCTTGTATTTTCTAAGTATAAGAGGAAATAAGATCATG